TATATCTTATACTTATTAAAATGTATTCTTAATTGCATACTTCAGTTTTAAAATGTTTGCAAAAGAATATTACACGAAAAAAAACAAAGAAGAAGAAATTATAACAAACGTGAATCTATAAAAAATACAGATACAAAAAGAAAAGATAATGTGATAATCTTACTAAATTAAACATAGTAGTTATGAACAAATTATAACAAACAAAAATATAAGAAAGATAAACAAGTTTATGTAAATATTCAAAGTAAATAAATTTATAAAATGTAACGCAATAGCGATAAACATGAAAAAATATAAAATAAATTATATTAACAAATAAATTCTTAATATTATGGACTAGTATTAAATTTGTCGATGATTATTGTTATTCTTTAATTACCTGGCAATAAAAAACTTCACATTATGAAATAGTATTTTGGACTAATTTTGGCTAGTAATATCGTTTAATATTGCAATTTATAGTTTCATAAATTCTAAGATGTTCAATTATAAAGTGATCTTAATTTTCAAAAAGAAATAATAATCGCCAAGTATTTTATTCAATATTGTACAATTTTCAAATTTATTGCAAATGTTATAGATTACAAAGTTATTTTATATTATTTCCATCTTATGAAAACATAGCTAATGATATTATTATCTGTAAGTTTCTGGATGTGAAAATGCACGTAAGACTTAAAAAAAATAATGAAGTCTTGCGATTAATAATGTATTCATAATTAAGCTAATAATGTCAGTGCTTAATAATAATTCGCTTAGAACGGCTGAAAAATTTTTTATTGCTGATCCCCATAACGTCATCGACGACATCGTCACCATTACCAAGGATTATGGTATAATTATATAATTATTATATCACCATCACCATCACCACTACATCATTGTAATAGAACAATTCACTCTCTACCACGAAAAGTGAATTCAGAACAACAATAGTGTAATTGTCAATAAAACCAAATAAACTAATGTTCCAATGAAGTTTCCACATACTGTACATATTTACAGCCCTTCCACTTATGTCCTTTCCTAAGCGTCGCTGAGACAAGCGACAAATAAACTGAACTATCGGACTTGTCAGTTCGAGCCAAAAAATTAAATACATTTTCAAATATTTGGTCCTTCGAGCCGGATCAGTGCAACTCCACATTTGATCCTTCGAACTGGATTATCGCAATTTCGAACAGATACAATTACATTTTAACAAATTTTGCTTATAACACATACTTTTTTAATTTAAATAACAATATAAAATAATATTAAATTATTGAAAAGTATAAATGTTATTGATAAGTATATATAAATATTTAAAACATCCGAGGTGCATTCTATTCCGAATTGTTCAAGGTAGAATAATTTTTTTTCTATATATTTTTTGGTTTACAATAAAATTCATTTCAACAAAATTCAATCAAAAAGTCATTCACAAAATAACTTTTTAAATAATCTAATAATAACAATATGCAACAAAAAAGTAAATCTAATTTATTTCCAAAACTTGTATTTCATTATATGCAAATCCAGCCTGCAATTTGATTAATTAAATTAAAATTTTAAAAACTTCTATAAAAACAAATATTTTATTTTTAAATAATATTGTTTATATAATTATAATTTAGTAATATTTCATAAAAAATGTTATATGCGCTCAAATAAAATTATTCTTTTATTATATTATCTTATATTTTTATTTATACATTATACAATCCTAATAGAATAAAATTGAAAAAAAAATGTTATAAGGGCTTACAGGTAAAATATTCATACACATAACGATAAGGAATAAGCAACTTATGAATCAAGTAAGTAATAATTGTAATAGTAATACCTTACATAAATATATTTTAATTAATAATTCAACTATTTTCATACAAATGAGATTGATTGATCATACAAGTGAATATTTTTATAATTTTATAATTCCATCACATAGGATATTTATATATAAATATCCTTTTTACATTTTACATTATATAACATTTATTCACTATTATTTTTATATGTTTAGTTTTTAAGACATATTTCATGTGTTTATAAAGTGCAATTAAATATATAATAAAGGACATATCGATTTTAGTAAAATAACAAGTTCTAATAAGTTTTATAAAATTACATAGTATGTAAATTCTTTACACAAATTATTTTTGCTTAATTTACTTATAAATAAATAAAATTATTACATGCATTGTATTTCATTGTTAGTATTAATTTTTCATTGCTTTCTAAAGCATTATTTTAAAAAAATGCATTTTTTCTCAATGCTTTATAGTTAATCGATTTTTAAACATTTATGTACAATAAATCACAGTTTTCAATTTAAAAAAAATTGAACTTCAAATATTTTTAGAAATTAAAAACAATATATGTATTTTAAATACCTAAATATAATTAAAAAAACTATATTCTAGATTTTATATTACAGTCTAAAAATTATAAAAATAAAAAAAATTAGTAATATGACAAATTCCGATTAATAAATCTTAGAAAAAATTTTAATTATCATTTTTATATTTTTCGTTTATAAACAAATTACTTTTATTTATGTTTTTTTGTAATATTATATTTAAAATTTCAGTTTTATTAATATTTTGTTAAGAATCAAGAAAACAAAGTATAAAGTATTGATTTATAATATATCGACTATAGTTTTAAGAATCTTAATGTAACATAAAACAATAGTATTAATCGTAAATAAATTATAAATCATATAAATTTATTATATGTTACTTTAATACAGTTATCTTGTTATATATATTACAAACTCAATAGTATTAAAGCTTTAATGTTACTTATATATGCAGTTGATAAATAGAGAAAAAATTACTATGTTACATCGTATTAAAGAATTTTTCATTAAATAACACTGAATTTGGCAATATAAAATCTGTATTAAAATATACATATTTAGCTTACTTATAAGAATTAACTCCAACATTAACGGAAAGGATGACTTTCATTTTTGTTTCATTTTTTATTTAACACGCAGCATTTTAAAATATTTTCAGTTATCGCTATTTCCTTAGTAAATAATACGGTTAATTTTATAAACCAACTTACATCATTTTACTACATAAATTAGTTTGTAAACATTAGTAAAATAAATATATATATGCTGCGTATTATAACAAAATACGTCTATAATTTATATTTCACGCTTTTGTATTGTAAAAATACAATTATCCATCAGATTAATATTACGACTTTTATATATGTATTTTACTATTTATATAATATACTCGCACTTTTACAGTCTTCCTTCATTTTTAATTTTAATTTTTTGATAAAATTTATTAATAAAAACCAAGTATAATACATGTTTCAGAAGTAATCAGATAGATTATGAAAGAAAATTGGTCCACTCCATCTTATTGACATTCATTAAAACCAATTTTATCTATAAGCTCGAAATTGTTTATTAATTTAAAGTGTGAAAATATTCTCACATTAAAATCTAGTGGCTATTTTTTTTCTTTATTTGACAAATCATTTTGTTTTATGATAATTAATGCATATATCTTATATTTATAGAGCATTCATGATTTTCTGAAAGATTTTAATAATTAAAAAAGATATATAATTGTTTAAAACTTCGGGCTAATACTTGCTCTTATAAATATACTAAAAATTAATAAAGTATTTCGAATAAGTACATGCCCAAATCTTAATGTATAAATAGTATACAATACATGTTTATTTTTCTGAAAGTGCAAGTTTTGCATGTTTCGTAAACATTTATACGTGTTTGCATGTTATATATGTATTTATGTGCGGAAGTATGCATGATAAATGAAAAAATATGTGCATTATTATACAATTTAATTGTATAATTTTTTTTTAATTTTCCATAACATTATATAAATAATATAAACCGAAAATTATTGAAGAATGAAATGTTGAAGTATAAATAAAATTGTAAAGTTGTGAAAATTGTACACATTGTGTCTGTTCTTTAATAAAATGCATACATTGACCTTTTCGATCTTTTTCAATAAGTAGTTAAATTTTCTTTATTCTTATGAGTATAATTTTATTTTAAATAAGATATACATACATATATGCCTAAATATATATTACTATAGTCATTAATTCACTACAAATATTAATAAATAATACATTGTTAAAAATTGTAAAGCCATGTATTGTATTTATTTTCATAAAATTCATAGTTTTTAATAGTTTTTACAAAATATTATTGATCTTTGTTTTATATAAAGAATATTTTTACAAAGAGTTATTAATCTTTCTTTATTTTGTATACAATATTATTCCATTCTAGATAAATTTGTACTATCAAAATTTCATATAATTATTTACTGTGTTTCTAACAAATTATTAATTTCTTTTAGTTCATAAATAAGAGTATGTAATACGTTATTGATACTATTGCTAAAATATTTGTATAAAAATTGAATGAATTGATTCAATATTATTATAATCATCACATTTACATTTCTGTGTGCATATGTATGTATAGTAGTATATGTATTTATATATTTTTATATGTGAATGCCCATATATGAATGTAACTATTAAGTATCTACATACCTTATATACACACTCTTAGTTAGATGTATTTATAAATTAATATGGAGAAAGTGGTTGGTAATGCACTAATGATTTTTGTACATATTTAATATTTATTTACATATATATTGATCTAAAAAATGATTTATTTAAGAAATAAAATTAGAATGGATTATTAAAATGTTTTAGAAAAAATGAAATTTAATAATATTAGAATTTGTCATTTACATAAATCTAAAAAATTGAGATACAGATATTAAAAATCTTAGTCATATTTATGTCAATCATCGTAATGCGTCCTTATGATAATATATAATTATAAATAAGAACGTAACTATAAATAAATATTTCTTGTATTTATCACACTACAATGAATATGTATATAAAGATGCAAATCGTAAATACTCTATTATCTAGTTGATAAATGATTGGTATCCTTTTTATATTTACAAGCGTAATTTATAAAATAAGAATACGAATTCATTATTTATAATTTTTTATTTCACTGTTTACTTTTACCATACTATAGACGATTCTCAAAAAATGAAACGTTATTCGTTGTAGCAAATGTGTTTCTATTTCGGTTATTTTTGCTGTTAAGCAGTTTAATTACTACATATTTTAAACCAAGATGCTATTGGAATATTCGGAATTTTGTAATTCTTATGACATAGATGAACAGGGTAATCGTGGTGAACCCATTTGTGTAAGTACCCGATCAAGCCATTGTAGAGGTCCATTTAAATGAAGTTCTATCCAACAAGGCGTTGAAGTCACTGTCTGCCGCCGATACTCAGCACCCCAGCCTTTTACAAAACTCATTCGAATTGTGCACATGCGTGTTAACTGATATACTGCTTCGAAACCTTGCGAAACTGACTGCGAGAGTAAAGCTGCGAATTCCTGATTGTTGAATATTTTTAAATTGCAACCTACAATAAAGATTTATAAATACTTTATTGTGATAAAAAAATAAAATAATATTTAAATGTTGATTTTAATCGTTATATATGTAAAAATTATTTTTATTTTACAATAATTTCTTTCGTTATAAATAAATATTTTTTTGATATTTATTTGATTTCATATTTAATGAATACCAATTATGATCAAATTTTTCTTTTAAAGAGAATTTATTATTAGTATTATTTATCACTAGTATTAGTATTTATTTATTATTTATATTAGTATTTATTATTAATTATTAGTAATTTAGAATGTTCAAATAAGAAAGATTTTGATATTTTTTAATTTAATATCTAAAATTTCAACTACGATTTTTTTGAAATAGATGATTTTAAGAATTATTATGTAGACTCAAACACTTTTGATAATAGTGTTAATTGTTAAACTAATTTTTATTTTAATTGTACTAATTGTTAAACAATTAGTATGTTGTCAATAAATGAAATATTTCCTGTAATGAAATATTTCCTGTATATAATTATCATTTATAATTATGCATACTACAAATTAATTAAATTATATATGATAAAATATATCGATGTTTACCAGGTGGTATTTTACACACTGTAGCTGGATGCCATCCATATCGTTGATTGCAATTTGGACTTTGAACAAAAATACTAGAATCTGAAAGACACTCTGCAAAAACTTCTCCTCCAATATAATATAATCTAACTCCTTTACCAATATGTCTTCTAGTTTGTTCAACGACTGTATTACGATTAACATTTGAAAGAAGACCTAAACAAAATCGTTCTGAATTACTAGGATCCGTAAAGCCATCGACAGTTATACTTGGTTGTGATGCATGAAATGTTTCGCCTACTCTTGTATTTAATTCATAATAACTTATGGAACACCTATAAAAATTAAGAGTTATATAAATATAATTCTAGCATAATTATTCAATAAACATAATAATTCAAAATACATTGATATTATATTATTCAAAGATTGTTTATAATTAATATTATTTGATAAAATTGCGAAAAAGTTTGCCCATATTAACGTGATAAGACACAGATAACACTTGCATAATACTTCAAAATGAACATCCACAGAAAAGAATCTTCGAGAAGAGGAAGTACGATATAAGTAGTTCAAAGTGATGAATTTCTTCTTCAATTGAATAACGCAATTATGCTTATTGAAACAATGAGTTTGAGTATAAATCAGCGCATAATCTATATATATAGCATGAAGAATAACAATATTATTGTTATTCGAGAGTGAAACGAAAATCTCTCGAATTGTATTCATTAGGAAGATTAAAAAGAATTAACGAACGGACATAAAAGTCTAAGAAAGTCTCGCCAAGGTTGCTGGAGGCTTGAAAAGGTTAGTCATCTGGAACATACTCGTAAGCAGCCACTTTATTACCTTTCGTACTACAGACGTGGCAATTGTTTTGAACGCAATTAACGATCCTTGGGACTTGCCATTAAAACCCGACTAGCTTATTTACTAGAGTATATTTTTGAGGCTTAGAATATTTGAAAACAATTGAAAGAAAAACATTTCTTAAAATTCATTCTAACTCGAAACCCGGCACGTATGACGCTCGATAATCTGCGCCGCACGTGTGCTTTCAATGTCACCAAACTAGCGTGCATTGTTGTCAAGTACGCCAAATGTTGCCGCTTGCATCGGCTAGGCGAAGACACTTGACCAAGAATCAACCCCCACCACGCTGAGGCCCGGAGAGGGCCAATTTTCCATAATATGCGCTGCCGCCAGAGATACTTTTTCGATATTTTCATTGTCTAAGCCTAATTTCTTCTGAAGTGGGAAAAGGGCGTGTACATTCATCATGCCGCCGAAAAGCGGCGCGCCCTGATTGGAAAACTAAGACCAGAAGCTCCTTGAGTGGGGACTCATGGCAAGAGGCCTTAAAGGTGGGGACAAGACAGCAGAGGTTGCTGTCCGCAGGAAGAATTCGAGAAAAAAGCTCGCGTGGGCAGCCAAGGGCTATCTTCAGGGAAAAGTCAAGTAAAAGGGACTATTCGCCTATAGAAGCCAAGTCTGAAGAGAACGCAACGCGGTAGTACGTATTAATAAATTAGAGACAAGTATATTGCCAAGACCCACTGACCAGACCAAGACTACGATATCGCTGTGAGTACACAAATCTACGCGATCTACTCAATTATTGCCAGCCGGTGGCAAAACCGGCACAACACGACCATTAACATTATCTCACTCTCTAACAAGGAATGTGCAGTAATTATTTGTCTTTACAATTTTTCAATTCAACATCAATTACAACGATCTCAAGAGCATCTTGTGTAGTGAAACATCGCATATAAGAAACCGTTCAAGAAATTGTATCTTCACATTAGACTTAAGAAGATTCTACAACACCCATATGTAAATTGTGTAATAAATTGTTAATAAATATATAATTAATCAACTCTCACGACTCTTGTACAAGCCCTTCCACCTATCTCCATCCCGGGCGTCTGCTAGGGCGGGCGGCAAACTAACCTATTGAAGCATTGGTAGTTCGAGCCAAGAATTACATTACTAATTTCGAACAGTTGTCGATATCACAAGAATTGTTTTATATGTCATTAGATGTCAGATTCATTACAAGTAATCGATTTGGCATTTTCAAAACAATCACAAATAATGAAGGAACACCGAAGTAAATATAAGTTAGTAAATAACCGTTATAAGTAAACAAAAGTGAGAAAATTAATAAAGAAAAAATTATTTCTGCACTACAATTGGAAGATCAGGATAAGATACCAATTAAACATTAAACAAATCGTGGAAAGATCCAGCAGTTAAATATCTTAAAGAAAAAATTCTGCGATTTAATTAGACTGGTAACATGTAAAAAGTACCATGTAAGAAATAAACCGAACTTCTATAATAAACTTCTCTCTTCGTTAACTAATTTCAGTATTTAGAAAGAAAAAGGAATTTGAGACGTTGTGAATTCTCCTTGTATTAATTTTCTGTGAAATTTCACAATATTATATTTGTGAATCTCTATGAATTATGCCGTGTTAATTAAGATCACATAAATCATCTGAAATTTACGTATTAAATTCAAATAATGTAATAATACATATTAATAATACTGTTCGATTTTAAAGGGTTAGTTTATGGCTCGAACTGCCAATTCAATAATTCAGTGGATTAGTCTCTCGACAGGATAACTTTAAAGGAAGTAGTCTCTCGTCACGATAATTTTAAAAGAAATAATAAGTGACAAGGCTGAAAGTAAAACAATGTTTATTATTTATAAAAATTTATAATAATATTGCAATGTTGTAGAGAAAGAAGAGTATTCTATTGAAGTAATGAGGGCGTGTTCTTGTATTCTTGATTATTGTAGATTCTATGGATATGACTGAGTATCTTGAAGTTGAGGTAATACGGATGTTATAAAAATCAGCTGATGTAGTCAATCAATCATGCTTGTGAGGTAGCACGAGAAGATGGCGTTTGAATCAAGAATGCTTGATGTATGAATAACTATACTTGATATGGTGTAAGATGTTTAATGGAATTTATTGAGTAATCAATTGTGTCTTTAATTATTTTTGGGGGCAGTAAAAGAGTCTAGTCACAGCTAAGAGTGGTTAATAATAAGCCTTTGAGCTCTTGAAGGACTGAATAATCTGTATTTATAGTCGATTAGTCGATCTCTTGTTGTCCTTCCTTGACAATGTGTTTAACGCATAGCGACACTTGTGTCAGTTGTTCAGTGCCTGTACGATGTCGAAATGTTAGTTCGAGAGAGCGTAAGTTTGCCCGATCGACTCTTATGAGCCTGTACGTGGTCGAAGCGTTGGTTCGTCTAAGATAATGTGAAATTGCCCGATTAATTTTTCTGCGAGGTGTGACTAGCTTAATTTATTAATATAAAAAGTGTACCTTGTGAGCTACAGACAAGGTGTATTAGTTGCTGCGTAATTGATGTCCCCTTTGATTACTATTCCAATTGGCTTCACTGTAATCACAACTAAATCTGCCGATTTTCCTTCATTAATGCACACGTGTATTATTAGCTTGAATACTGAATATATGGCCACGTGTTCTCTTCACAGTATACTGTTACACTGAGCGACAGTTACCCTTAATTGAGCGAGGAGTAAGATTACAATGAGCCTTTTGAATACGCGCACGAACGGAAGGCTTGATCGTTCCATGGCGGTCCTGCTGAGGGCAGATCGAGACCCGTGTGCCATGGCTTCTACTGGTAGATAGTTAGATCGGTTCACTATGGTCGGTGTCACTGCTGTCGGGTCACGGCAAGATGATAGCCGCAAGCGCAGTTGAGCGAGCGTGGTTCGGCAAGAGAGATTTTCAGCGAGAGAGCGAGATGCGCCGCGTGCGTCCCTTATACATCCACGTGGCGACTCACTTAGCTGCCAACAAAGCATCGTCGTTGTTGCACTAATTCTTACACGAGGCGTCGAAAGAAAAATCTAGAACCTTCGAGAATGTTCGACGAGAGAAAAGTAGGAGTAATTTGGGTGATCTTACAGTATATTATATTTCGGGTCGTAAACTTACTCGGACTTGCCGAGTTTTGTTTGTAAATATTCGCTCGAGTACCCGTGCCGGTTCGCACGTGCGGGCCAGTCTAGGCGCACATGCGGTCAGTCTAGGCGCACATGCGGTACGCCGGACAGCGCGTATGACCTTTCTTTTGTTTGAAATTCATGGGACTGCATCAATCCCGAACAAATACTTTAATATTATAAGACTGTTAAATTTATTTAAAAAATATAACTTAGAAATATAGCAAATGAAATATTATTTTATTGTTTAACTAAATTCCAAAATAAGTAATCTTTAATTCAGTTATATAATAAAAACATGTTTGTACATAAATTAATATAATTCTATGATTTAATTTCTTGAACTAATTAAATCTAAACTTTAAATTATAAAAAATAATTTTTATAGTTATATAAAGTTTACTAAAAAAAGAACGAATATACGATTACTATCATAAAAAAAATGGGGTAGCTTATTTAATACTAACCAAAAAGCTGGCTCACAATACATAACTGGTTGCGCATCGACGGGACTAGGTGATAAACGCGATAAAGACATATTATCATTATGATCCATGTTGTCGCCATCCTCACTAATATAGCCAGGGGGTGGCGTATCTGCAGGTGGATCCATTGAACCAGAGGTTGGATGAGGTGAGCCCTGAATACTACCAAGGCTACTTACACTTTCAGGACTTGTAGCTTGCATGCTCTACAACCATATATTAATTACATAAAACTTATGAATATATTAAATGATTATAATTTGCTGTATTAATTTTATAAAATGAAGGTTTGCTGTTAAATCAGAAACGAAATAACCTTAATTTAATATTTGAACAAAACAATTATGAAAATTTGTACTTAATTGTAGTTCAAAATTATTAAACCTATTTAAACTAGATTGTAATAAATTAAAATTATAAATCATTGCATTTAATACTCCAGAATAGTCTTTCACGAGTTCATTCGTTAAAATGTTGATTTTATACTACCGTTATCAATTATTTTCAATGTATATTATAATATACAGGAATTTTACAGATTCATCAATGTATAATAATTATCAATGAATGGTAAAGAAATTAACTTTTTTTGTTTAATATGCTCCAACAAAAAAATTAAATTATTAAGTTACTAAAATACAGTTTAATATATAGTAGTATTTTACCAAAAACAGCCATTTTTTCTATTACTTTGTAAATATCTATATAAATATTTATAATACATAATAAACATTCACTAATATTAAATGTATGTAAATCAGTATTTCTTTATATTTTGTTGTATTTCTAAAACTTTTTATATTATAGCTATGAAAATAATGCAGTTATATATATATTTATCAGTTATATATATATATATATATATATATATATTTAGCTTAAAAAATAAAATGTACTTTAATTGTTGCATAGTAATTTTCAATAAAGGATATGAAAAATTATTTATTAGCTATCATGTTTTATTTGAATTAAGTGCATATAATTTTCTTTAAAGTAAAATAATAATTTTTAAATTATAATTGATCTCGTTTGTATCACAAATCTGAACACACATATTTAAATATAGTTGAGTTTTCCAAACAGTTGGTTACTATAAACCAGTTTATTATAAAGCTAATAAATTATCGTAGTTTTTATCGTAATTTTAATATTTATAGCAAGATTAAAAAGGTATTCTAGAGAGATAAATAAAGATTAAATAATGAATAAAAATTTTATTTAAAAAATGTGCTATACAGACGTGTTTCATTAATTAATATTCAAGGAATGACACTTAAATTTACTCTTGCATTTTCTCTTTCCATTATTCGAATAAAAGTTTGGAATAATACATCATTTTCGAATTTGATTTCGGGATTCCTTCAACCTCATTTAGTACGTACATAATATTAGATTAATCAAGTACTTATTTCTTAAATCATTATTGTATTTTTATTAATTATAGGGACTATTATTATTGTCGTGAAGTAAAGATTGTTATATAATTGCACTTTATTTCATTATTATTCTATAACTTGTTTCAATGAAATATTTAGAAAAAAATTTCATGATAATTTCGTTCATTAAAAATGTTAATATCTAATATTCTCTTAACTTCAACGAATAGTAATATAATAACAAGGGGATAAATAGAGACAAAATATCTTCAATCAGACAGGAAATAATATTTTTTGTAAAATAGATATTCAAATCAATTAAAAGACTTAGTTCCAGATATTTTACTTTCTAATTTTTTGTTACCAAAAATATTTTTATTGTATTAGAAAGTATCTATTTAAAGATTATATCAAACAAGTAATTAAAAATTCTATTTCATCTATTATTCTTAAAATTTTAAAAAGTGAAGAAAAATTTCTCAAATTATAATGAATGCACATAATTTAACAATTTTCAGAAATTAATTTTTTAATTGAGACTGTAGTTGACATATATAGTAATTATGTTTAATCAGTGTAATCAGTACATCATATAAATATGAAGAAACACAAATATATTTTGATGAACTTGTTTACTATGCGTTGAAGAATTATATATATATAATGACCAATCTGTCTCAATTTCTTTTATAATTTTTAAATATTGTCCAATAAAATAATCATGGCTTCTGGGGTCACATATCCGTATTTTTTGACTTCATAATAAGATATATGAAAATGTAAACGCTTTAAACAATTGATAAATTAATATATTATTTAGTATATATAAATTTATATTTATAAGTTTCCAATTAAAACAAGATTTTAAATAAGGGGAAATTTTACATTAAAGTAGTATTTTATTAGAAGCTACAAAAACAATCAAACTATTTTAATCTGTACTGCTTTACAGTCAGAGCAACATTCAGTTTAAAATACTTTTCAATACAAACTACTAGAAATATATTAAAGTCCAATAACAATGAATGATTTGTAATAAAATAATATATAATATGATAAATTAATAAGCATACGAAAATTATTACTTGCTTACTTGCATTTCTTGGAATTGCTTATTTACTTGCTGTCGTAGTAAATTCTGTAATAATTCGTGTTGATTGCGTTGCTATTGATAATTTAATATCGTGCAAAAATTTTTGTACACGGATACTATACCACTAATATATTGTAAAACCTTGATTTGTTGTCAGAATTGCCCTGCGGTAGTTATAAAATGCCTAGTAAAATTGAGAAAAAAACAATATTATTATAAACAATTCAATTTTGTTATGTAAGAATAAGCCAAGTACATATAAATATATATAGATTTTCTATATATATTTGTATATTACATTTAGCACTTATTTTTAATTATTTTTTATTAAATATTAAATATTTTTAATTTTTTAAAAATAAACAATATATAAAGCTTACCAATTCTTTACATTACATTTAGTATATTAATTTACGTTGCATTGAATATTCAAAATTAATAAAAAATAATTAAAAAATGAATTTATAAAAATGTCGAATAAATAAAGATAATACGAAACAGGCAATAGAAAGATAATAAATCACACAATAATTATTACTTATAAAATAAAATGTATTAATCATATTATTTTTCGAGTGAATTTCAATATTTTTATTGTAAATTGGTTATAAAAAACGATTATTTAATTGCGCATATTAATATAAATTAAACAAAAAATCTATAATTATTATTAATTTCAATGTCATTTTATCTATAAGTGGTAAAAATAATAAAAATGAGTAGTTACCCGAATTCCTTATTTGCAAGTAATGATAAAAGCTTACACAGACTTCGCTGTGTTGCTGAGAAAAACTATATTTACAATGGACAATAGCATTGAATTTGTAATATGATTGGAGATTCTGGCCAACACCATACACGACATTTATTTAAATACCATAGGCTTGTGCTTTGCATCCCCTGCACACCATTATTAGCGTTACTTTCTGTACTAAGCCTTCAAAACAGTAAAAAAAAAGACAAATTATTTTATGAATAACTAGAATACTGGTTAATTAAATCAATTACAAATAACTAATTGCCAACTAAATTATGCATGATATTGCTTGTTTCTTTTAATACTATTTAAATGTTATGCATGTACTTTCTTATATATATGTTTTGATTACAAATCTATAATTACAAAGGTTATTAGGGAAGTGGTTATTATGTGATATATTTTCAGTTTCAAAATTTGTAACTAATTTCTTCATTTCTTATTATAACTTCATTATTTGAAACATAGAAGATAACATCTCGAATGAAAAACGTAAAAGAAGCAACCGAATTTATTATCAATAATCTATATTTCAATAAAAGATATATATTAGCCTTCATAAGGATTTTTAATTATACATTGTGGTATCCAACTTTTCGCAATCCCAATTAAAAAGACAAGTAAGAATTATATTCAGATTTGATTCAACTCAATCACAGAATACAGGTCTATGATCAAATTTCAATCTAAGATAGTTGCATAGAAGAGTTAGAAAATTAATCTTTTTATATATTTAGTACAATATTTGGGCCTTTTATAAAAAAAGACTTACCCGCGAAAGAACTAATTTAAGATACAGTAATTATGAAACTTATGTTGGATATTTTATCCATCAATATCTATATATAAATATTAACATTAAAGGGATATCAAAATATTTGAATTTTTGTGAGAAAAATTAATTTAAAGCATTAAAGAATTCATAACAAATTAAACAACTTTGTTTATTGAAGAAGGTATAATTCATCAATAAGAAACAGTATGAAAAAATAGATTGATAACAACTACTTTAATATACTTGTTATATCTTTTAGAAATATTGAGTAATAAAAAAAATACGAATGAGTTTGCAAAAAGAGGTTCCTATAGAGTTAGAGGAAAAATTATATTGAATATTGTTATTGATTTTGTGATCCTCTAAAAAAAGTATATGCTACTATTTTGGTTATAGATTGTAATATATATTAGCTCTACTATTTTAAATAATAATTATGATTTAAGATTGTCCTGAAAATTGTAAACATGCTACCTTTGTAAGTATATACTACAATTTTGATAATTAAATTAGTCAATTTACCTTGTCTTCCTCAAGATTGATACTTTTAATTATCTATTTATGATCCAATTAAAAGATAACGATAACACAATTAAAGATGCATTCATTTGTACGTAAAATATGTTGCAATTATAAGATTATTGCCAAAGGCCACGTGGAATCGTATGAGATCTGCCGATAATTTGTCTTCTCGAGGAATCATAGTTATAATGGACTAAATTTCAAAGTTCGAAAATAAAAGGCAATAAATTAGTGAAAAACTATGTTTGTATATAACGCTTAATAATATCATGCATTGGTGCTTTACATTTTATACTCACATTTTTATACAATTGATGGAACCTTCGCCAATTATATTAAATAACGTACCCTTCCAGAATATTTATTTACATTGGAATTAATTATGCAGAATTTTCTAGTTTGAGGGTAGTTCTGAATAAAAAAAATAATAATCTTAAGATATGTTAACCTATTTATATATAGGAAAATAAAATAATAAATAATCAATTTCTGTTTCAGTCTTGTCATTTTTTAATTTTTCTTTCTACATAGATGTTGAAAAGTAAAATTTAAATAAGTTCTTTTTAACTATTTAGTATATGAGTAATAAAATCGTTACTAATTTATAATTAGTATAATATATTAAGTATAATTACGAAGACAAATACAAATACTAAACACTACCAAGAACTAATTTAACTGATCTTTAAAAAGCTATTTACCACCAATTGAAACCAATTGAAAAGTACCATCATGGATATTGAATTTACTTATATAATTATCAGTTCTTAATTTTCTATGATTAAGTACTATTTCTTCACATATCGAATAAAAAATATTTTATTATCTTTCAGAATTTTTGAAATTACATCTAAAACTATTTACAATTTTCAATGAATGTATTTCATTATCTCATATAACTACATAAAAAACATTATAGGTTGATGCTATTTTATTTGCTAAAACAATGATCTCGAAAATGCTACACCAATTAAAAAAGCAATTATAAATTTAGATTTAATATTGAATCCGTACTGTGGCGATTATGAATTATTTAGAATAGCTATTTAAAATTAATTAAGTTAATTGAGTAATCCAAATAGTATACAAATCTAATTCTATTTTAATCTCTCAGTGTTCTTGTCGTCAATACATATCTTTTATCAAATAATCTAAATTAACACTTTAAATAATTTTTATTATTATTGTATATATATAATGTTATAATGAATTAATTGTTTCTTTGCATGTATTATTTTTGTTGAATTATATATAATAGAATAAAATTTATTTTGGCATATATTTTTATAATATAATTATGATTGGTGCTTTTCTGATGATAAATAGTTAATTACTAACAACTTGTACAAAATATAAAAATTTTTATGATACCTCGAAACCACTAGAACCAACATTATGAAGTCAAAGACAAATTAATTGTACCTAACATACAAATATTTAAAAAAAAATAAAAATAAAAGAAAATATGCACACTTAAAAAGTAAAACAACATATAACTTTGATATATGAATAGTATCAAATAACTGGCAATATTTATAAATATATTATACATATATATCTCAATGTTAGTATATTACACTAAATTCGGCTTCATTTTATATGGTAAACGTTAATTCGATGATATAGAATTGGATTTTCTAAAAGTTTATGTATATTAGAATTTTAATTTAAAAAATTCATTGTTATGTAATTTATTGTATATTAGATAAGTATATTATCAAAATAATTTTAATGCAAATCAAAAGTTAATTACAATGAATTAAGAATTAAAACAATTATACAAAATTTGAAAACATGATAGGTTTTATATAAAATTATATGACAATTCATTAAATAAATGATGAATTTCTCTTTTATAAAATGTACGTGAAATTATTTTTAAAAATATTTCTTTACGTTTTCCAATCATTCACAAATATAAAATACTATAAAAAATTATGTCAAATAAATTAGATAATTTTATAAAATATTATTTAAACCTACTAAATGTGTAATCAACATAAGTTATACAATACATTACAAACACTTGGAATTAAAATCTATATTTGAAAATTTTTATAAATTTTATGGTCTATATTTGTTAAGTAATTTTGAAAACGGTATATTTTTCACTAATTTATGAATATTTTTATTAGTATACAAATCATTTTGTAATTTCGCTATCTACATGATTTCAATTATAATAAACTTATTTATTATTAGATTATATTAGTTTACTTATTAGATTATAGTAAACTATTCTAAAAAAATTAACGATGCAACAAATTAACAATGCAAATATACATTTTATGACTTTTGAATTAAAATTAAATATCCATATGTTCTATACTGTATAGTCACTTTAAACTTTAGAATTGAAAAATTTCTTATTTCTTTTTTACTTTAAGAAATGCTTTTAAATGTGAATGAATAAAGAAAAATTATATACATATATCTATTTAAAAGATCAACTATATATGTATATGTATTTGACTAAAAAAATTAGGATTAAATAATAGTAGAGAAATGAAAATTAATCAAAGAATAATAGAAATATAAAACCATATATAAGGACCATTATTTTTAGCGATGCAATACGTACGCGCAATTGTGCGTTCTAAAAAATATTTAAACGAATCCAATATATTTATAGTCAGCTATTATCTGTTTTGATTTTCACTTTTATAACTCAATTTGGCATTAAAAAAATAATATCTTTATCACAGATTTTATATTGACTACAAAGTACTGTAAAATTACCAGGGACAACGGTATATCTAAGTGTTTCATACTAACGACTTTTATAACGGCAGTTTATGCTGTCGAACGTAATCATTTTTATTTAACCATCGAATTCTATTAACATGCAGTATGAAACTAAGTTAATAGAAATATTCAAAATCAATAAGCGAACGAGGAAAAATGCTATAAATAAATAATGTATAAGAATCAAGTAATATTCCGTAATCGATTTTTCGATATATCTCACTGTGATAGTTTAACCTTTTATAAGCTGCAATATATGGTGAGGTTAATATTTAATTAATTCATTTGAAATTCATATATTTTTGTTTTCACTCGCTTATTTTATTTAATAACTATATTCTAATATTGTAATATTTAAGTTCCTTTTCCATTTCTCAAACAAAATTAAACTATGCTTAGGTTATAGTTATTTCATAAATCTAATAACAATTGTAAATTCACCGAAGAATATACCTATATAGAATATTTATATAATATTTATATATATTTCTATAATATATATATAATTACTTTAAAAAATTTTATGTAAATTATCAAGCTAGTTTTACTATGAATGAACTATTAAAAATAAAATAAAATATTAATCATGAAATTTAATTATTACTTATACAATTAAAAGCTATTTAGTTAAAATAATTAAATATTAAAAGTTTAATTAAAAAAAATATTAGTAAAAATAGTTATATTTATTAATATATTTTATCTCTATTTATACTATTTAAGCAATACATAAGATTTTATAGATTTTTTGTATGATATTATCTTATATGTCTTAAATACAAATCTAAATATTGCCATTCGAAGAATTTCTTTTACAGTATTATCATACGATAAGCAATATTGCATTTGTATGCAGATTTTTTAAAGAAAAAATTTTCATTTGGAATTTTGATTTTTAATCATATTAGGAAAATATAAAATCCAATTGTAATTGAACTAAATAATAAATCTCATTTAAATATATGTTATTTATTTATAAATTAACTAATTTAGTCAGAAATAAATAAATGGTGAATAATTAAAAAAATTTTGTTTTCTGAATATTTATAGAAAATGTAAATTAGATTTAAAAAGTTAATTATATTAAATAAAATGATTTTTACTTACCTAAAATAATCTATTTCTGATTTGTATAAAGGATTGTATTTTTAATTGCTTAATTTTTTATTTCGAGACATCAATTTATTTGTAATTATGTATATAACGAAGAATTATTCCACTTAAAGTATTCTATTGGTTTTATTTATGCGTATTCTAAATCATGTACCGTCTGTTTTGGTTAATTTGGAAAATATTTTTTTTTATGTATTATTATATGCTATCCAATATTTTTAGTATATAATAAAGACTTTATATTCTTATTTAAATTTCAAATATCAACATAAGTAAAAATTTCTCAAAAAATAAGTTTTTAATAATATTTTAATTAAAATTAATTGATTAATTTTAATTACTATATTAAATATTAAATTGACTCTTATGGCACTATTTCTTGAAATTCTTAATGAATTAGTTTCAATACATTAAAAATATCTGATCTATATTTGTATAAGTACAATGAGTTGATTAGTCATAGAACATATGCAATTTCATTGCTAAGAATGCTACTTCGATATTTAACAATTTATTTTTGATTCATATTAAATTAATAACAGTATTACTTGAAATAAAATGATAACATTTAACACGTGAAGTATTTTTAGCATCTAAAAATAAAATACACTTAATAAATCATATATATGTAAGGGTTGACACTAGGTCACAACACTAGGACACAAGGGTTGATATACTAATGATGCGAATTTTAATGAGAAGTAAGGATTTTTAATTTCAACGCATAAAAGGAATGCGAAAAAAATGTATTAGCCCTTCAACGTATAAGAGCGGACGTGCTAACTTTTGGGATATAGATCACCACCAAGTGCAGAAAGCGCCTTCTTCCGGCAGTGATAGTTCTTGTAGCTAAAGAAGTAACCACCTAGTGTAATTTAACAAAGGATTCCGAAATTGTGGCCATAAGGCAATTTCTACTTTGACCCCCCCCCCCTCTCTGTCTTGCTGTAAATGGATCTCATGAAATGTTTGTAGATTATTTAGATTTTGCTACTCTTAGAACTTTAGAAAAAAGATTGACCTCCTTTTTTTTTGGTTCTGATTCTCGAGCCCAATTTCAGACATAGTTGCAAATCAAGCAAAAAAGTATATATTCTTAATTTTTAAAACAATGTAGAAGGAATAAACTTTGCGACAAATCTTTTTCTACAGTGGATTTCAGAATCCGAGAATGCTTGTTGCTATATATTGGGGTCGAGAATTGTTCCTCTTGAAATCTAGTAAGCAAAATTTAATATTTTCTATCGCAAGTGCTATTACTACTCATATTTTATGCAACTATTGCATTAAAGAAAAATTAAACTTTAATAAATCTTAAAAAATATTTTTAAATATATTTTAGTCCGAAAATTCACTTTATCATTAATTATTGCCAATAATAGAAATAATAGAACTATAAATTTCATTAAAATATGATCTCTTTAAATCGTATTAATAATGAAAAATTATCAGCAAGATAAAGTTCAGAATATACTTAATGTTTATAAACGTACATGTCATTACTTAGAAAGAGATGCAATTTATCTCATATATGTAAACAATGATAATTTAAT